GGTCTTTCGGAACGTATATGTATTCTTTAGAACATGTATGAGGTCTGTTGAGACACATATGTGATCCTTGGCATATGTATATGATTCTTAAGGAATTTCTATGTGATCCTTAGGGACATATTATATGGCACTACGGTGCATTTCTACGCAACACTTAGGTGCAATTCTACGTGGCACTTTGGTGCATTTATACGAGCTGTGGTAACAACATAGTGCACAACCTCACAGTACTCACATACCTTAGGTTCTCAGTATGGTATCATGGGCTAGTGAACTTATTAATATGAACTTATGAATGTTAATTTGATAAGCCTATGTGTAAGAAACATGGTTATGGATATTATACTGATTAAATACATATTTTCATTGCATTTCATCTCATTTTGGCATTTTCATTATATTTCATTATTATCATTATATTGCCTCACTAAGTCGATGACTTAGCGTGTGAGTGTTTCATACGTAGGATTCGAGAAAGTATACGAGCAATGTTAAGCAGCTGGGACAGTATCACTCTTGCAACTACCAGATCAGAAGCAACTTAATCAGTAGGTCATTTTGTTACGTAAATGAATGTTGGCATGTAATCAAACGGTTAAGTTGTGTATGCTCTAAGCATTTTGATGAACTTTGTATAAACTTATGTATATTATCGTATTTTAGTAATATAAGTCCAAATGTTTATTATATTGTTAAGAATATTGTTTTAAAAAGTAAATGTGACATCTAGGGATCGTATCCGGGTCGGGTATGGGTTGAGGGTGTTACAGGTTTAGAGTCGTTCCTCCTTCGTGTACACTTATTTTGATAACTACTAACTAACAGAGGTTCTGTATGGCTCTACCTAGGGAGACCATTCTACGGTTCACTACATGCATGGTTTCAGCTCTATGAGGAAAGAGTACTCGAATTGTCCTTGATGTCAGTGCCCCTTTGGGCTACCAAACCCTTCATCTTAACCTAATAAAGATGTAAATGGATCGAGTTCAATTTGAGGGGATTCACTTCCTTATACCCATACGAGGAATAAATTTCTATGAAAGTATAAGGTATGTGTACCCCGGGGGTTATTTGCTAAAATTCATACTAAGAATAAATTCTCACAAGAGTAAAACCCTACTTACTTGGGATGAAACTCAGGTATAAAGATTATGTCATGCAGATGCATGTGATGTGTGTGAGGAGGAATATACAAACATTTACTTACATAAACGAAAAAACTTGAAAGAAACCTTGACAAAGCTGAAAACATAAATTAAAACGTTAGTGAGATAAAATACATAAATTAAAAAAGTTTCAATAAATGGATCATAAGCTAACTATAGATTCAAACTCATAATTTCCACCACAACGACAATATGTAAGCGACTTACAACATCACTCTCTAAAGTGTACACATTGGAGTCGCCAAGTTGTCATAACCATTTTTAAAACAATTTAAGTTTAAAAAAAACAACTATGACTTTATTTGAAATATTAGAAATTTTGAATTAATTTGAAAATTTTGAATTGGAGTCGCCATCGACCTTTGGCCTAGGTAGGTCGAATACCTAAAAACGTCTTTTAAAACAATTTTAAGGAAAAATTGTTTTTAAGACAAAAATTGGTCTGCGTTTACCAAAAACTCGACTTAACGGGTTCGAGAGTCGGTTACGCGTGGGGAAGGATAAACACACCCACAATGCCCAAAATTGGTACCTGGTCCCTTACATATTATCGCAGTAGTTGAAATTATAAATCGAATATAAAGTTATAATATGATCCATTTATTAAAGTTTAATTAATTTGCTTCAAATTATTTACTAGGAAAAGTCCTTTAATTCGAAAAGAAATATCGAGATTTGCTTATCCTCTAACGAGAAGACTATATTTTCTATTTCTTGTCTAAAAAGAATATTCCCTCTTCGATTTAAAAAAAATACAAATCAAATATAAATTGAATAACCATATTTTCATAAAATAAATTACTATTAAAAAACATGCATTGCATCATTTGAATTAAAATAAAAAAATGAATTAATTAGCACTTTTAAAAAAAACTCAATTTATTTCGAGTTCATATTTTGTTCGAATGTCATTTTGAATCACACCACTTCTATAAAGTAATGCTTTTCACGCCCATTCTTCAACCAATGTTCTTGAAAATGTTCGAATAAACCACTAAAAAATCAAATATAAGAGATACACATTATATTGCCAAAAGAACATTTCATAAATCAAGTTAAAATAAGTGAGATAGAATGAAATCATAAAGGTAAACATTATGTAAACATACAAAGTTAAGAAGCATTGAAAGAATATATATATATATATATAAACATACAACATGAGAACGTAACATACATGGATAAACACAAAACATTTGATATTAAAGAATCACAAACGTATAAAGGAATAAAATAATATTACATTTTAATTAAATAGATTTGAATACGTAAAGATTAAAATAAAACCGAATGACAAATGACTAAACCAACATAATAAATCTTAATTACACAATGAATCGACAAAATCTCATATCAATAACAAGAACAGTGACTAAAATTAATTCCTAGAAAAACTAATGGTCCTAAGACTAGAATAAAACATGCAATTTAATATACAAGGAAGAGGATTAAAATGAACTCTGGTAACAACTATCAACTAAAATCAAAGATTAAACCAATGTACTAATCAAGAATCAAATATGGACTAATATGCATTAAATAAAAAAAACGACTAATCATAAAAGTTATTTACCTCAAGATAAATAATAAACAAGTAGTGACCAACATATAAGTATAACAGAATTCAGAGCTTAAAGTAAAGCTCGCAAAAGTTCCATTTGATGACTAAAATGAAATGTAATCTAATTCAACAGGTATATAAGGATATTTAACCAAGAAGCAATAATAAACAAAACAATGGCTAAAATATAAAAATAACAAGTATCATATTCAATGTCAAATATTAATAAAAATAGGAAGATAACAGAACTAGGATTAAAATGGAAATACAACAAAACGAGTGCTCAAAATAAAAAGATTTGGAGCATTTTTCATTGACCGAAATACAAGAATAACAAGATTTGAAACTCGGAATATAAACTTGAAATTTACATTAAGTGACTAAAATGGAATATTACAAAACCTTCATGAACCAATAAGACTTTACCCAAGCGCTGAATGTACATCCACCATTCCCTGGAACAATGTCGTTCCATACTTGGCATAAAAGCTAACAACCAAAGCTAAAAAATCGGCCAAACCCTCATTTGTCACGATTTTCCTCTTTCTTCATTTTAGAGAGAGTGTGAAAATTCTTCATTTCTCCCCTCTCCACATCACCAAAAAAATAAAGTAAACTTCGGTCGCCTCATCCGACGCCGGAGACGACAACCACTGAATCGGAACCCCAACCCCTCAATCTTTCTCCCCTTGACCAAAACCAACCTAAACACTACCATTTTTTACTCAAAACGGATCCCTTTTTTCAAATAAGAACCCGAGATAGCGGTGGCCGGATTTTGCAAAAGGATAATTCTTTTTTGTTTCTTTTTTTAATATATTCTTTTTTTAGATCTTTCTGTTCGGTTCAAAACCCCCTGTTCTTCTCTGGTTTTTTCTCTCCCCTCTATTTTTTTGTACTAATCATCCTTTCTCTATTCTCTCTTCCTCATTTTATCTCGAATATTGGAATGATGCTCTATTCTTGTGTTGCTGAGAGGATAGAGTATGATTACCCTATTTTTATGACAGGGTCGAATTTGACTTCGAAATTTCATTTGGATTTTGTTTTTATTTTTAATTAATTTGTCCCTTTTTTCACTGTTGATGTTGATATCCTGTCACTGTAGGTTGAAACGACAGCGTCAATAGGTGGCAACGACAGTGATGAGAGATGTTCAACCTAGGCAGCGACGGTGATAGCAGAGGGCTTCAGTTTAGGCGGTGACTGATGTACTAGGGTTTACCCTAGTTGCTATTGGTTGATCTGGATCGATGGATCTGTGGGAGATCCAACGGTTGTGGACTGGATGTGCCGGATGCTAAGGGTGAAACCCTAGTCGGGTTGGGTTCTCTAAAACAGGCTTCATTTTGAGCTTCGGGTTGATTATATTGGGCTTTATAATTTGGGCTTTATAATTTGGGCTCCATTTAGGCCTACAAAAATGTAATTAGGATATAATAATAATAATAATAATTAATAATAATAAACAATTAAAATCAGAAAAAAAACGGATGTATACTCTTATCATTTTACAAATCTATATATTTAAAAAATATGTGATTTAATTACCTCATGAACTTTCTAAATCCTTACATTTTTACTCATTTGATTAGAATATCATATTATCAATTAAAATTAACATTATAGTAATTATTTTATAATAAATCATTAATATTAATGAATATAAATTTACAGTATAATTTTTTAATATAGGGTATATCAAATTAGTAGTAATCATAAATATAATTTATCGATAGATTTACAGTATTTCTTGACTAAAAACTATTTAAACATAAATTAAAAGATTAATAGTTATTTAACTAAAAAGAAAATACCAACTTCGATAAAAAAAAATTAAAAACAAACGAAACAAAGAAAGAAATCCCCACAATGGAAAACTCAAATTCCAGTAAAGAAAACTAAATAAAAGAAATATAAAAGGGAGTGAAAACGAAAAGGGAAAGGAGAGAAAACCAAAGAAGAAGGGGGGACGTAAACAAAGCGAGAAAAGGATATACAATTCAATCAATACTGTCGAACTATAAATTACAAGGAAAAAGTTGATTTTATTGAATTTGCGAAGAAACCTATAATAGAACGGAATTTCCTTTGGCGACGACCAGCCACCGCTGAATTGATCGTTTTGCCCTTTTCTATAGTCGGATGATGGTCGAGAGACTACCATTGAATCCGGCATTTGAATTGGTTCTCTTCAGGGTATCAAACTCCAACATAACGTCCTTTTAGAAAACAGTACCTTTTCATTTTTTTTCTCTTCGTTTTGGTTTTTAAATCCGGAAGAGTGTATCGGGGCTGTTCGATCATGGAGATGAGGGCATGGATGGCGGTGGAGAAAGCGAGGAGGATCGTACGGACGGCTTTCTTCATGGTGGTGATGTTGGCATCGCTTCTAGCATCGTCCCTGCCGTTGCTGGTGGCGATATGCGACATCACAGTCCCTTTCCTTTTACTCTCAAGCTTCACTTGCGTCACGTGCCACGGTTTCCAGGAGCACCTTCGTCGTTACGATTTCAAAAACTCCTTAACTGATATCCCTCTCGTCTCCATCCTCAGATCTGTTGTCATCGCTTGTACGATTCTTATTTCCATTTTTTCCTTAAGTTCTTATCAAAAAAAGGGGAAAAAGCAAGTAATTCAAATGTCCTCATTGTTTTGTTTTTTGGGTTTGGCAGGTGTATATTCGATGTGTGACGGTCCGGCGTTATCCCATGGACCTTACTTAGGATCTGTTACTTTATGTTCATTCATTTCGATTATTCTGCTTTCAGTTAAAGCGTGTGTTTTTACGGTGAATTCTCAAATAGAGGCAGAGGCAGGTGTAGAGGCATCTCCGGCTTATTCCATTTCAAAGCAAAGGCTTCATATGAAGAAATCATGGGGGCTTCCTGTTTTGTTTCTTTCGTCAGTAGTTTTCGCACTTGGTCACACTGTAGTTGCTTACAGAACAAGCTGTAGAGCAAGAAGAAAGCTTTTCCTTCATCGAGTTGACCCTGAAGCTGTAAGTTTTCGTGCCTTCCATTTCTGGGTTAATTTTGATTTTAATTATATAGGGAAGCATTCAGTGTTTGCCTTTGCTACTTTTTTTGGGTTCCCCAGAAATTTAGTGTATAAGTCGAACTTTGGAAATTTTCTGATAACTAATTGCGTGATTTTACTTAATATATTATGCTATAATTATTTTTATTTTTTCAATTTTTTTAACGATGAATTTTGCTTTCCGACGCAAAAGGTTAGCAATTGGATTTTTTGTTTTTGTATTTTTTTTAAAAGTTAAACTTCTAATCGTTATTTTGAATAGAGATTTTTCATTGTTTTACGGTAATTTGGAAGTATTGTGTTAGTTGAACTGATTTTGCATTTTACTTGCTTGTTTCTGTTCAACAATGAATAGTGATTTGCTTTCTATCATTATCTTTATCTTTTTGTTTTTCACCAATAATTTTAGACACAGAAATTAAACGGAAAATAGCAAATAACTGAACGCATTCTAAGTGATTTTATATTATATTTTTCAATGAATTTAAGTTCTATTTTTAAAAAGTTTATTGAGGGGAAAAACTGAAATTCGGTGGTTTTTGTTGTTAATACTTTTACTGTTTTTCTTGGTTTTGATAAGTGAAATAAACTTTTATTGTTTCTCTAAGTACAACTGAACGTATTTTTATTCCATGAGATGTAATCCGTTGCTTAAACTAACGCAACTGGAAAGCCTTTTATAGCTACCACAGTGTTTGATTTTGGTAGGAACATTCTCGTTATTGCAGGTTCTTTCATGCAAAAATGTTTTCTCCAGCTTCCAGAAGGTTCCACGATCTCCCACTCCCTCTGCAGGGAAAACTCCAAAAAGCGATAGTGAAACAAGGCGAAATCCTTTCAAGCAATCTCGAGATGAAGGGGAACTCCCTGTTAGATTACTTGCTGACATAGATAGTTTGTTCATTAAACTGCAAGGGCTTACCATTCATTACAAGCTCTGCTTTCCTGGTTCTCCCACTAGGTCTTTGTCGTCTACTTCACCACAAGTTTCTCCTGGAAAGCTAAAGCTTGATAGGCAAGCACTATGCGTGTTGTCGAAGACACAACATCACCATCTTCATAGAAGCTACAGCAATCAGTTTCACAGCTCTTCACTTTATGCTCCATTGTTGGATGGGTCACCAAACTCTCCTGTTCTTTCTGAAGATATTCCCGTTTTGAGCCTTGAGGATTCAGTTGCTCAAGTTGAGACAAGTCATTTGAGCTCTGGGAGTCTAGAGCAAGACATAGAGGCAAATGTCCAGCTTGGCATTGTTTTAGTGCATGGGTTTGGAGGGGGAGTCTTCTCATGGAGGCATGTGATAGGAGTGCTTGCTCGTCAGGTTGGTTGTTTAGTAGCTGCTTTTGATCGACCTGGCTGGGGATTGACTTCTAGGCCCAGCCGGAAGGACTGGGAGGGAAAAGAGTTACCCAACCCTTACAAGCTTGAGACTCAGGTATGGTTAGGCGCTCCTTTAAATGATGTTTGGTTATTGTCCATGAGATGCATTTCTGGCGCATAGGATGAATTACCAAGTAAAATGCCTCAAAGTGTTTCATAAATGCCATGCCGTTTATACAAGCAGTTCTTTCGAGTCCTTGAGGCCTTAAATTACACGTATAATGCTTGAAGCTCATTTTGATTTTTTAAGGACTTTCTTGCCGTGTCTTTGTTTATTTGTTCGTTCTCACATCTGTCATACGAAGTTCATAAGTATTGTTACTTGATATTTTCAGGTCGATTTGCTTCTTTCCTTTTGCCATGAGGTGGGATTTTCTTCAGTGGTGCTTGTTGGCCACGACGATGGAGGCCTGCTTGCTTTGAAGGCCGCACAAAAAGTCCAAGCCTCAACAAATTCTTTCAATGTGAGTGAGGTCTCATGATTTTTCTGTACCAATAATAAGTGATTCGTTTGGTGTTTTTCTCTTCTTTTACATTTTTAAGGACCTCACATTTTCTCCGTAAGTTTTGCTGGTAAACCCAAAGATTATTATTTTAAATGTATACAAAAGTAATCTGAATAAAGGAGGGAAAATTTAAACCTTGGTGTTTTAAAGGTTGTTTATTTATTTATCTATTCATGTCAGTTTTTTTTGTTTTAATTGACTGATTCCTGAGAAGAAGCTTAGTTGTGGGTTTAACTTATTGGAATGAAGCACAATGAAAAGGTTATTAAATTTAGAATACGCCTTGAGACAGGCCAGAAAAACACACACACCTGGAGATTGTTTAGTTTAGTTATTTGTTGTCCTTTTCAGATTTCCTAATTCAATCTACCTGGTTCCTTAGGTCTAAGAATTTTATTTGTGGATTTAACTAAGAATATTGCATATGAGGTTTGAGTTAGATGTTCACAATTTTGTTGCTGTATACTGGAGTGTCAGGTCTCACTGAAATTCCAAATTATAGGCTTAACGTTTTGTAAGATCTTTCTGTGGTTGTATGACCCATCTAAATAAGTGTCTGTTAGTAGAAATTGCTTGAAATGCTTAAGCTTTGTTCTTACCATTTATCCTTTTGTTTATTTGGTGGTTTATTCAGATTACAATCAAAGCTGTGGTTTTGCTAAGTGTTAGCTTGTCAAGAGAAGTTGTCCCTGCCTTTGCAAGGATACTCTTGCGTACTTCACTTGGGAAGAAGCACTTAGTTCGTCCGCTTCTGCGAACAGAAATTACGCAAGTGGTGAATAGGCGTGCGTGGTATGATTCGACTAAGTTAACTACTGAAGTTTTGAGCCTCTATAAGGTATATTTGCCGTTTACATTTTACTTTTGAAACAATGCTTTATTTTGCAAAAGGAACAAGGGCATTTTAAAAGGAAATCTAATCGAGATAAAAAAAAGCATATAATATCAGGGTTAGTGCATTTATGCAGAATGATGGTACTGACATGAATCTCCATAAAGACCTAACATTTAAACCCAAAATTTGAAAGAAATAGAAGGGAGAAAGCAATTTGCATATGTATTCCTACAGTTCTATATTGCTATTGTAGCATAAGGATAACACGCAACTAGTTACCATGAGGAAAATTGTATTTTTATTTTAGTTAACTTTCATGTGCATGGCATACTTTGTCAAATTATTTTGTAGCTTATTTTTAGGTTTCTGAAATTGAATGTAGCTACTAGTTTGAAGTTTCAGCTTGTTTAGTTATTTGATGAGCTGAATTGATCTTTTGCTGCAATCAGGCCCCACTATGTGTAGAGGGTTGGGATGAGGCACTTCATGAGATATGCCGCTTGTCACATGAGACAATCCTTTCACCACAAAATGCAACATTACTCCTGAACGCGGTTGAAGAGATGCCGGTATTGGTCATTGCTGGTGCTGAAGATTCCCATATTTCTCTCAAATCATCCCAGGCCATGGCTTCAGAACTTGTAAATTCTGTAAGTAATCTGCTTCAATTTGTATCCTCTCCTCTCAAATTTCGATTTTAACGAGAACGGTCAATCTTCTTGGCATATCACTCTTTTATTCCGGGTTGTAGTTCTTCAAGAAATTGAAAATCTGGCATGCATAAACTCTACTGAAAGAATGTTTACCGTTTCTGGGGTTCTGTTGTCGTATTTCAAACTGAACTTGTTGAATACTTGATTCGTTGCATTTTATGCGAACAACGAATCGTGTTTCTTAATGTTGATAATTTGTTGCCATGCAGAGGCTGATTGCAATATCCGGGTGTGGCCATCTACCTCACGAGGAATGCCCCAAGGCATTACTTGCAGCTATTTCACCTTTCATAAGCAGATTGGTAAACAAATCAGAATTGCAAAGAGTCTGTAGGACACCTCCTTTTTGACATAATTCAAATAGGACTCTCATCTCTTGTAGGAGTTTTCTATCTATATCTTTAATGTTACCTTCCACTTCCTTTTTCATCCTTATATTCTTCAAGCAATTTACCCCCTTACCTCTTCGTTTGGGTAATTTTGATGAGTTAAAAGCCTTTGCCCTTAGTCCTAATTCTCTGGGGGTGTTTGTTTGTAATATTTGTTATGCTTTCCTTCTGATTTTGGCTGCTAACAGCGTTGAGGTTAAAATGCATCATGAGCTACTTAAAAGGATTGGCAGAATTTGTACATATTATTTGTCAAAATTGGCAATGTATGCATTTGAGTTTCAGTTTTGAAAGATGGGTTGGAGATTGGAAAGGATCTGTTTCATGGTTTTATTGATTTACAATATTCTAGCTTCCAGTTTCAGTATATAATTTACTGTAATCGTAATTTGGGGTGAACTTATCTCGATAGATTTTGTATTCTAATTATAATTTTTGGAATAATTAAACTTAGAATAAAAGAAAAATAAGAAAATGACTATTTATTAATAGTTAATGAAGTCGACTTATATAAGAAAAAGAATGACGATAAAATGAACAATAATGAATTAAGTTGTTTATAGTAAATGATGATATTATCTAATGTTATGTGTCTAAATGAGATGAAATTTTAAATTTTGTTAGTAGCCACTGGTGATTTTGAGAAGTCGACTTATATAAGAAAAAGAATGACGATAAAATGAACAATAATGAATTAAGTTGTTTATAGTAAATGATAATATTATCTAATGAACAATAATTTTCCTTTGAAAAAGCCCCAAATTTGGAAACTTTTCCTCATTAACTCCATTTACCAAGCTGTGGCTTTCTGAATTTTATTAATACTTCCTTATTTAATCTGAGTTTGTAGGACAACTTCCCTAAAAATTTAAAATGGAAGAATATATTAAGGAAATTTCCCTACAGACTTCTAACTCTTTATGAAGCTATTTCTGAAAAATGAATTTTCTGAAGTCCATTAAAAAAATCTAATTTTCCAGTAAAAACTGAAAAAGGCTTGGAAGAGAATAGAAAATCACTTGGGTAGCTAGTACTGTACATTCTGGCCCATTTTCAGCCTAGGGCAGTTGCCTATGAACTAAAATCACGTGACTCCTTTTTTTTAAAAAAAATAAAAAATAAAAAACAAATATGATCCTATTTAATATTCTTTTTCCATGAAAGCTCCAAAAGACTGCCATCCTATATCACCCCCCCATTTTCTTGAATAGCAAAATGCAATTTTTTTTTTTAGTTTCAAATACATTCTCAATTTCTGGGTTTTTATTCTCAGTATTAATGTAATATGTTAATACTCATTCTTTTTTTGTGATTTTTAGATATGTTTTTTTTTGGCATGAAGAGCGACAATGTGAACATGTCATATTGTGGTGTTGTACTGAAAAATGTATACTACACAACAATTTGGTGATTACTCTCTCTTTTAGCACTTCGCTTTTCTTTTCTCTCTGAACAACCCAACCAGACATTTTCATTTAGTAAACCATCAGACCGGTCGATTACCCAAGCAAGGTCCAATAGTGACCAAGAAGCTCAAAAAGGGAAGAATATGAAGTCGATCGCCTCAACCCATGCATAGCCAAAAACAGTTGATAAGCAACTCTAACCTCTAAAGCTCGGCCCTCACTGCCTCCCGAGTGTGGGACTTGGGAGAGCGAGGGAGGAATCAACGCCGGCAACGATTTGCTTTTGCTTTTAGTTTTTGTTTTTCTTTTATGTTTTTGCTTCTTCATTAATGCACGATGTCACATCTCAGAGAGAATGGTCCAGAAGAAAATAACCTTGGGTTCAAATGGGGTATTGAGAAAGGGCCTGGAGCGAAAAACAGGGACACCATGTTTTACGAGTCGTTTTTTCACAAGGGTGAAGAGTATTTTGTTTATGATTGTGTTTACTTCTACCTTGGACAACCCGAAGCCTCCATTGGTAAACTGGTGAAGTTGTTTGAGAGTCCAAACCATGTTAAGAAAGTTAAGGTTGTTTGGTTTATGCGTCCAAGTGAGATTAGGAACCATTTGAGAGATTATGAGCCTCGTTGGAATGAGATTTTCTTGGCTACAGGCCAAGGACGTGGGGTTTCTAATATCAACCTTGCGGTAACATTTTCTTTATGGTTGTTCTTTCTTATCATCTGAAGTTGCTGAACTTGCTTGTGTTCTTACTAATGTTGTGTCCATGTATTTGTCTTAATCGTTGCTCTTATATACTTTTACCATGTCGACGATTTTGACAACTTATGGGGGTGATTTATTATTGTTGTGATCAATCACCAACATTTGCAGCTTTTGCATTTGAGTGCAAACTTATGGTCATCGAGATAATATGTAGTTATGCATGTAGGAACTAATTGGTGGAAAATGCAATGTTGTCTGCACATCAAATGATCAAAGAAATCCACAAGCTTCTCATGAAGACTTGAGATGTGCTGATTATGTCTTCTGCCGCCATTTTGATGTTGGAGAGCTTGCAATATTGGATAATTTTCCAGATATGGTGGATGGGGTTAAAGGTTAATAGATATATACTCTTTTAGATTGGGATAAGTACCTAGCGATGCTTTCGAATGATTTTTCTTAATGCTTGCAGTGGAACACTTCTTCAACAAGAAAAAAGGGCAAAAACAGCTAGATACTACCAATCTCAAATCAAATGTTGAGGGGCAGACTCAAAGACCAAATTTATCTTTCAAATTTAAAGTAGCAAAAGAAAATGGTAATTCTGTAAAAGATAACAATTCTGATAGCAGAGTAAGCGCATAGGGGAAAGGAGATTTCTATGTATTCTTTTTTTTTCTTCCCGTATGTATCTGTAGACCCGGATAATTAGGTGAAATTAGATTGTACCTGGAACTTGCAGATTCAAAGGTAGCACCTGTTAGCACGAGCAAGCAATTGCATCTTCCAAGTAAGAATACCTCCCTAAGGCCTAAGACATCTATCTCTAACAGTGGCACGCAGCATAGTGGAAGTTTGCAAAGCCAAGCTCAAGATGAAATTGATAAAGCTGAAGTGAAATATCCTAGAGATTCACCTACTAGCGCTGCTGAGGAAACCCCTTGTAAAAAGAGGAAGCTTTTTTGTAGAGGAAAGGACAAGCAGTAAAGTTCAAAATTTAGATGGTCAACTAGTACAGGACACAAACATTGATAATCAACTACAGGCTTCACGAATACCAAATGATGTATGTTACACGTCTTTTTAGTTTGAGATATCAAGTTACACATTTCACTTGTGACTTTAGCAACCCTTCTAATATCTTCCAGTTTGATCATTTCAGGATAGAAGGAACTGGTTCGATAAACTAGTAAGCTTCAGCCTTGTTTCTATTCTTGCTCACCATTATTTTCTCTCTAGTTGCTCTTCCAAGTTTACATGCAGTTGCTTCATCCTTATATTTTATCTTCATTCACTGAAATGTCTTCCAACATAGTTCATAGCTGATCTTTACCATTTGGATAATCTTTTTAAAAATTATCCGTCCTACTTCTTTTATTCATTTTAGTGTTTCACTTCTTTTTGTGATATATAAACTTCATAATATGAAGCATATATTAGCTTAAGACTAAAGTTTAAACCTGAAAATTAGTCATTATCGTGGATGGCCTAGTTGATAATATCATCTCTTATCTTTTTTATCTTCAATATGTAATTATCACCGTTTTTATCATTAGCCTTGGGAGCAAAGACTTGAGAGAGCTCAAGAAGCAGGTACCCTGATCTCACTTGAAAATGTAGATCCATCCTCCACGTCATCAGAAGTCGAGGTTTGTGATTTTTTTTCCTGGTTATTATTCTCGTCCCATAAAAGTAGCTTATGGGGTCAGAATAGAGATGGGCATGGGACCCGAATCCTACGAATTTCGACTCAACTCGACCTGATCGGGTCAGTTTTTTTTTTAATTTTAGATTTAGGTCGAGTCAGGTTTTTTTTAATTGTGTTCGGGTCGGGTTCGGGTTTAGGGAGAAAAATACCCGATTTATATTGCAATAATTTTACCTTTATATTTAGGGATAATTGCAATAATGCCCCCTCTATATTCTATTTTTTCAATTAAATCCTTATTTTTATTGAATAAAAATAATATTTTTAAATAAATATATTAATTCGGGTCGGGTTCGGATTTTATCTCAAAAGTTTGGATCGGGTTCGGGTCGGGTTGACCGAAAATCCGACCCGACCCGACCCATGCCCATCCCTAGGTCAGAAACTGTGGGATGTTTGCTGTTTTTTTCAAATATGGGAGTCCAATGCTATCAACTGTATGCTTTGATAGAATCCTGAATTCAGTATTGGAAATGCCAAGTATACCATAATCTATCAGAATAGATATTGTTGAAGTTTCCTGGTCCCCAAATATATTTTTAGTTTTATTTAGTAGTTAATTTGGAATTTCCTTGCCAGGATCTTGTTTGGCATGCATTGAAAGAGAAGGTTGAGGCAAAAATGATAGGACGTACTGCTTTTTCTTGCCCTTGCTATGGTACATCAACACCTTGTGGCTTTCATGTACAAAGTAACTTTTGTCAAACAATCACATGAACTCTGTGTTTTAAACAGGTAAGGCTCTTCTTATATTCAAGTCAAAAGAAGCAGCTAACTCTGCCATTAACCAATTAATGGAGAGATGCTTAATGCTAGCAGATGGGAGGTACTTTAATTAAGTTCCATCTTATTAGATTGTTTTCACTTTGTTGGCAGAATAGGTGATTTACTAATAGCTTTATTTTACTTGCAGACCTCTAATTGCTAGGAGGGAGCCTATAAGGACGCCTGCCAAAGTAGCTGCTTTTGTTGGTCATCTTACCATTGACAAAGTCCTTCAAAAGCAGACCGAAGAGGTGGTAAACATTATTTTTGCATCAACTTTCTTCGATTTTTTGATCAGCTCTTCTCCTTTACATCAATTTAACCATCCCCCCCCATCCAGAAAAAAGCAAAGTCAACATCACATGCATCTCAGCCCAATAACATTGAATTTGATATGGGAATGAAGTGGAGAATACTGCAAATGAAATCAGATATGTCGTGGAAG